TGTAATTACATAAATAGTTTCTAGCAGTAAGAAACTGAACATAAATGTAATTTAACATGATAGAAAACAAAAAATAATATCTTAGAATTCATTGCGCCGCCTCAGCAACAAAACTAGATAGTTAAGATATAATATATAATTAATTTTTATATATAGTAAACATGATCTATATCGAACAATCTCGAATATTTCTCGAGCTTGATTTCCCGCTTCAATTAGCAGCCAAACAGCAATCAATAAATAAATAACCCTGGATAATTAACACAACTCCATCTAGTACCACGGTAACACACACAGAGCTTGTGTTATGGGTACTAGATACTAATATAAATATTAAGATTTTTCTTAAATGCGTACATATAGACTAAACAATCATACTCATGAATATAAATGTTACCACCGTGCGAGGAATTGAACCTGTGACCATCGAAAGTAAAACGGTGTGCTAAACCGCTAGACCATCGACCGCTTTGTAAGATTTGCTTCAGCGAAAGTACAGGTTAAGAGGGCATGACGTTCTTCAGTTATGTGCAACGCATTAATGATATCGCGGATGTCAAATGATAACATGATTTCCCAATGCTGTATGCATGTATATAGACGACGGTTACTATTTACCATCAGGTGGATAATCAGCTTGTTTACCATTCTAAATACATAAATAATAGAGGTAAATAGCTTTACAACAGATTAACAGCTTAACAATATCAACAAACAAATTTATGGCAAATGTTCATGCATAACTTATTATTTTATCCCAGTATCAGTTACAATTAAAATAAAAAAAAACTTTACTCATGTAAGTCTGAATAGGCTCTCCTGATAAGTCAAATGTAACGTTTGTTCTGAAAGTAGTTCAAACCAAGAAGACCTGACAAGAAACTGCACTTACTCATTTTCGAACGCTATTGTACTACAATAATGTTTTTCTACAATTATAATCACACACAATTTTTGAAACTTGGGTTTAGAATAAATTCAGTGATAATTAGTATATATTAATATTTATTACAATGCATTATGAAACTATAAATTGTATTAATATTTAGTAAATAGAAATAATTCTACTGATATTATAACGAATGTTTGTTGATACTAAACGAATTTTGATGAAACTTTACAACAATATAGCTTATATATCAAAATTACAAATATGTTATAATTTAAAAAGATATTATGTACGACATTCGTCATTATATTATGAAATATAATGACGAATGTCAAGTAAGTGTGATGCAGACGAAGTATCGCGGGGCATCTAGTTCGATAATACGTATTCTAGACCGCGAATTGGTAAACTTAGTTCTATACTAATATCTATACTATTTGTTCTCAAATTAAGAATGGAAACTGCGAATTGGGAAACGTAGCGTAGAACGCTCCGCAGCTAGGTGAAGCGACGATATACGTATCGCGGGTAACAGCTGGACGAACGGCTGAAAATCATGCGCAATGGTATGCCATGGGAGAACCCTATGCTCAGCAGTGGACTACAGTGCCCAAAAGAGAATGATGTGAGATAATTCAATCAGTAGACATAACTTGAATGAAATACACAATATATTCCTGGGCACGTTATAAATCTATTTTTATTGGCAATTAACGTAGGTATAATTTATAAATTATCGAATACCATTACGTAAAGGAATGCTGCATGCCATTACGTTACGTTATATTTAATATTATCAAATTATATTCCATGAAATAACTGACATTATTTAAACATCGACTATATTTAATTAATGTACATAATTAATAAAATATCATCTATACATATAAATAAAATTTGAGTTTCTGTTTGTAATATTGTATTACCGTTTTTACTATATGCATATGAATATAAACACGGTAAAATATTTTGGTGTATGCAAAATATTTTCTTTTTACAATTTTTGTCTGTCTGTCTATTTGTTCCGGCTAATCTCTGAAATTGCTGGACCGATTTTGACGATACTTTATTTGGTAAGTAGGTGATGTAATAAGGAGTAACTTAGGCTACTTTTATTATAGAAAAATAGAGTTATATTCCATTTTTGTCTGTCTGTCTGTCGGTCTGTTTGTTCCGGCTAATCTCTAAAATGGCTGGACCGATTTTGACGGGATTTTTTTTGACAGGTAGCTGATGTAATAAGGAGTATCTTAGGCTACTTTTATTTTATAAAAAGAAATTTCGCGGTAACTGCTAGTAATCGAAATAATAATTTTACTTTTATTCTCTTGTTTGACGCGTGGTGACGTAGACAATATATGTATGATTGTATGATAAACCATTCTCACGTTAATGTTATGAAAACATTGATATCTAATATTATCAAGACAGGTTATGAGACGAGTTTTATCACAGATTTAAGATCAATATCTAAGTTGAATGTCAACTTTTATTCATATTATCTATTGCTTCACGTGTTTAAGATGACAATATACAATTTAAACTATATACAGAGTGTCCATAACAAAAGAGTCTTTTTTTTTCATGGATGATAATGGAATGATGCACCCGCCTGCGCTAATGGTTTACACTGGCGGGGCATCAGTGGAGGATGATAAGATGAGCATGGGTCAGGTCAGTTAGCCCATAGTGATTAAATACTCAGGAATTAACCACGATTGTTCCCAGAGGAAGCCGCGTGGAGGTGGACCTAACGTGGTACATTGCTAGCAATGGGGACACTAGACCCCATTACTAACAATCTGCTTCTCCCCCTAGTCTTTTGTTATTTAATGTTTTGAATTACAAAGTTATATAATTAAAAACATTAAATAATTCCTAACATCTATTCCATGATTTTATAACCGTAGATCAGTCGTAACCTGTAAAATATATGTATTAACTATATTATCTTATTATTTAAAGCTTTTATCAATCTATTGGTTGTGATAATACTAAGGCATTATATTATATTATAAATATATATATATATATATATTATATTTATATTAAGTCAAAGCATCAATTTGATTTCATGTAAATAGTAGCGAAATCAACCAAAATATATTTTTATAGTAAGTAAACAAAACTCGCACTAATTTGCATTATTATTCTAACGTGAATCATATAATTAATATATACAAAGAAGAGAATGAAATTATAATTTTGTTAAATAATTATTAAAAAATATATACATTCTCTTTTGCAATATAAATGATTTAGTAAAATATTGGGTATAGAACACTTCTTCAATTATGTTTATTATTATTCTTTCAATTATGTATTATATGTAGAGCAAAGTATTACATAAATACTAATTACATTCTGGTTGATACAATTCTAAAAAAACATCAAATTCATAACTTCACACATAAATAACGCAAAATACTAAAAATCAAACCAATCAAGATATCCTAAGAGTGTCTGCAAGAGATTGCTTGAGCCAAAAGATCGCCTTTTGTACCTCTAAATAGTTTTTAAAATATACTTGTACTACCAGGCCCGGGCACACGTTGCTGTAGCTAATAATGGACAATTAATATTGCGACTATAAATTGAGATGTAAGCTATCCTATCTTTCAAATTGGATCAAATTGCACACAATGTGCAAATCAAATTTGCAATCGGTTCAGTACTTTAGGAGTCAATCGCGGACAAACAACGTGATACATAATTTATATATATAAAGTATTAATTAAAAATAGTATTAACTATTTTTTAAATATAATTATATTTATATTAAAAAAATATATAATTAAGTATGGATAAATGAAGAGTTAAAAAATAAAATGAGTTTCCAAAGTACAGTACAGAAAGGGATTGAACTGAAACCGACATTGAGGTTACACTTCAGAGCACATATGCTGTTCCATCCTGTACATATAATTATAGATATGAGATCGTTATTTACAAGTTTATCATATCAATACATAACATAACAATGTAATATATTCACACGAATTTTATATTGTCACGTCGAGATATCGTCTTTTGAAATTCACCTTTTGATAAGGACCCAAAATATTGACAGTCTACGTTGACAAATGAGGGTTGACTATCTGTCGTCTGAATGACATTAGTAGTATTTATGAGTAGGTACTAGTAATTGTAATAATTCACGATGATAGCAAATAAATACATAAACATATCACATACCATCATTTAGTTTTTTTACACTTCGAAGATGGCTAACAAGCATACGGCCTATTTGATGGTAAACAGTTACCTTAGCCTATAAACGCCTGAAACACCAGGGGTGTCACGTGCGCGTTACCCTTAAGTACTAAGCAGGGCTATACGATAGACACATTTAATATTTTATTTTGTAATTCTAATATGCACATATTGCAATACTTAAAAAAAACATCCTACCCAATTTAGATGTTATAGTTCAAAAAAGGAACACATTTTAGGTAATCACTTGAAAAATAGAAAAATCTTAATTGATTTTAAAAAGTTATGGATAAAGCACATTAAGATAATTAATTGTAAAAGTCATTTTTAAATAAGTGGATATTCTATACGCAATTATCGGTAGGGCCAGTCACCGCCAATCGATCGGGCTAAGCGCCGCAGCGCTGCAGTCGACACCGCTGCTGGACGCTCTATTGATCACAATGAAGACCATCTGGAACACCTAGTAGGAATGTGCACAGTTCTTTAACTCGACGTAGGCATTAATGGCAACATTTACTTCCGCGGATGAGATATGTCTTATTTTTACTTAAAGTGTTGCATGAATATAGGGGTGGATCTAAAATAAATTAGATATTATAAAGATATCTTGTAATTTACTTGTTGGTAGCAGCAGTGGTGTACGAAGATACACGAGACACCATTATAGGCTTTAGTAAGACTTTGTATTTAGGCAATCTCCTCTGGACGAATGATAAGGGCCTAATAATCGTTTTGCACTTCAAGTATCTGTTACGTCTTACGTTTACGCCACATAACTATTGACGTATTTATACATACGTATTTTATCGAGTACTCAAAACATTATCTCTCGTATTGGGTATTGATATTATGTATTGTAAATCCACAAACGTATACGCGAGGTTTATGCAGCACGATGTCTAGTAAGACGATGACAGATGATTTACCACACAAAGAAGAGGCTCGGAATAATGGAGTGGATTTAGACCAGATGCTGATCGATGAAATCGGTCAGTTTGGCCTCTATCAATTCATCACATTGGCATTAATGTTCTTTCCTGCAATATTCGCGGCTTTTTGTAATGGTGAATACATTTTCTCAACAGCCAGGATCCCGACCAGGTAATTGACTTAAATGTATCACTATAACTAATAATAGACATTTTAATATTAATTTTTATTATATTAGTGATAAGTTTATTAATTACAGTAAAACACTAATGTACGTTCATGTTGATATATATCTTAGATGCTTACATAATAAGTATCGATTTATAATAATTAATGGAGATTACGCCTTGGGTAATATTTAGCTTCTTTTAATAGGCCTGATGTTAAGTTTCAATAAAAGAAATAAAAATAGTGTTTAAATGAACACTTTAATTTTATTAATTACATTACTAGAACAATCATTTGACAAATTGTATACTAAAGAAAAATATATGTGTAATCTATTTCGTGATAATAGAATCTTATTAGAATAGACTAATTCGACTACAATATTTATTGTCTCGATATTTTCCTAACATAATTAAGTTTCAAATTTAAAAGTTTTAAACTATTTGTGTCTACTGAAACTATATTATCCTCTTGTCCACATTCAGTTCCAAAATTAAAATACAATTATATTTCAGATGTCGAATTCCTCAATGCGATGGCATGGATGCACATCCCGAGTTTCGCCCGGAATGGATTCTAAATGCAATCCCTGGTATAAGCCAAGATTCTTTCGAAGATTGCTCGAGATATGCAGACAGCGATAATTATGAACCAGCTAACGAGACTTGTCCAGCCTCATGGTTTAATGCTACTACGACAAATTGCGAAAAGTATGTTTACGAAAATACATACAGCATTGTTTACGATGTAGGTAGCACAATGGACCAATTATTATAAAAAAATATAATTTTTAAATCTTAGCTTATATATAGGGTGAAATTTGCTGTGAAACTCGTTCAAATATTAAATTTTGAGCATTTAACGTTATTGGCATTCAAACCAATGTATTACGCTTATTACACACATTTACTTATTTTTTCAAAATCATCATCATCACTTGCTTCTTCCTTATCCTATTTGTTTGGGGTCGGCTTCCATTCATCCCTGTTCGCAGTCATCACTAGATGAATAACTATATTTACTACCTTTCTTACTATATCATCTTTCACACAGTCCAGCCATCTCTTTTTCGGCCTTCCTCTTATAACTATCCATATTCATATGCAACATCTTCCTTAAAATATTATCGTTTTCAAAATATAATCTGCAATTTACAATTATTTCAGTTTGACTTGGCATGCAAAGAATGGCGACGTTCACAGATTGGGTCGATCAGTTCAATGGGTAAACTTTTGGGAATACCTGCTACTGGATACATCTCAGACCAATGGGGCCGACGAATTGCACTCGTTATTGGTATTTTTAGCGTCGGCGTAGTTGGTTTGGCGCGCTCCTTTGCAACTAGTTATGAGTGGTTTGTGGCTTTGGAAGTATTAGAGGCCATTGTGGGTTCAGGTGTATTTTCAGCATGCTACGTTTTAGGTAATTTAATATTATCTTTAAAGTTAATCTTTTTTTAAAAATTAATAAACTTTTATGCCTTTTAAGAATTATTATTATTATATTTAGATGATTAGATTTATATAATTAGATGTTTTTTTATTAAAAATATCTTTAATCATATACATCTATTAGAGATGTCTTCGATATCCTAAAACATTTTAAAATATTGTTTCTTACATTAAATTGTACTAGATATTGATACATCTAATGATATTTTATTGATACAACATTTTTTAATATTTCAACATTGCTTATCTAAAGGTAATATTTTCTTATTTGCAGTAATGGAACTTGTCGGTCCCAAATATAGAGTAGTAACAGGAGCCACTATGTCTTCACTTTTTGCTTTAGGACAGGCAATTCTGGGCTTGATAGCATGGTATACACAATCATGGCGTACACTCGCATTAGTATTGTATATACCCCAATTTTTTATAATAATTTACTTTTGGATACTATCAGAATCTTTCCGGTGGCTAATAAGCAAAGGCCGCTGTGACGAAGCAGAAACAATTCTTAAAAAAGCATCCAACATGAATAAGAAACATCTATCAGAAAAGTCTATAAAGATAATACAAGCTACTGCAGGAGTGAAAAGAAATGTACAGGAATCAAAAGAAACGTGGCTACCGATTCTTGTGATAAATTCTCGTACGATGCTAATACGTTGTATCGTATTACCGATAATATGGGCTGCATTGACTACGATCTACTATGGGTTATCTGTTAATTCTGTTAATATGACTGGCAATCAGTACTTGAACTATGTCTTCGTATCAATAATAGAAATACCGGGATACTGGACAGCGATCTTATTGTTAAATCGTATTGGAAGAAAAGCAATGTTGATAAGTGGATACTGGTCATGCTCTGCATGCCAATTTACTCTTGCATTTATGCCTAATGGTAAATAAACAAATTTTGTATATTATAAAACTAGTTGCAGCGATTGTACATTTATATGCGTTACTTTGTGATGTACACAATTAAATATTAAAAATTTTGTATTTGTATGTTTGTAGTACCAACGTTCAAATCCATAAAAACTAACACAATATACATTTTAATCACAGCGCTACAAGAATTTACAAAATTTCAATATATTTTTACTTATTACTTAACTTTATTTTTGTATTATATTTGTATTAGCTGGCGCGCGGTTTCACCCGTGAAATTTATAGCCTATATATTATTCTATTAGAGTAACAAAATTTGCCTAGAAAACTATCAAATCAACTCTAATTTCCAGGTATGGAGAATGTGTCACTGGTCATTTATTTAATTGGAAAGTATAGCATCTCTATAGTAATGACTTCACTTTATATATACGCTGCAGAATTATTTCCTACCAAGTATAGGCATAGATTGCTGGCCTTCAGCGTTACAGTCGGAAGATTGGGGACTATCATGGCACCTCTTACACCAGCACTTGTAAGTAGAGACAATGCTCTCTATTGAGAGTAATTTTCTTTTGACAATTCACACAGCGCCATCAAGTTCCATACTAAACAGAATCATTACTATGGGTAGTAAAGACCTATACTTAAAAAAGAATACTATATATACTAAGTATTTTTTTAATATATAGATAACAACCAGAACATGACAAACAATCATACTCAGTACAAATGTTTGTGTAGTGCGAAGTATCGAACCCATCGGAATTAAAGTAGTGTACTTACAATTCAGGTTGTTAAAACCGAGTTATCGTAATTATTGAACTTATTTTGCTATAATAATAGTTTCCAATATTTAAACTTTATTTTCCATATTTATTAATCACACAATGTTTCACACATGTAGTTTGTAAAAAAACATCTAGAATCTAAATGATAATATAATAAAAGCAAAAATGTGAGGTTTATAAAAAAGTCTTTGCTATATTGGAGACTCTTAAAATTTTATTTGCCACTTAAAAAATACTGCTGTTATACGATTACAATATAAGACTACAATATAATATAAGATTAAGAACCACATTTGGATACGTTAAGTACAATTTTAGAAATATATGTAAAATGACGTTGTTGAAATCAGGTAATTTTTAAATGTTCACAGGCTTCGGAGATCTGGGAATCGTTGCCGTCTGTGCTATTTGGCACCTTTGCATTGATATCAGGTTTCCTCGTGTTTACAACACCGGAGACACTCGGCACTAAGTTACCAGACACAATGGAAGAAGCAGAACAAATCGAATCTAGAAAGATTAAGCTGTGATACAAATTTTGTTTAAATGTACTCTTTATTTAACCATTTTTACCGATGGTACTTACCCGATGGTAAGTGGTAACCATCGTAAATATAAATATACAGAAACATCGTGTTATAATGTGTCACCCATTATACCACTAATAAGTTGCTATTCTAGAGGACCAAGATGTCATGTTCTTATACGTAATTTCAGATACATATCAGAATTAAATATTGTCAATGCATGTAACATTCTTAGAGTTCCTAAGCACGAAAGTTCTGGATAAGTAAGTTGATTGTAAAAAAAATGTCTGATTTCACAAATATAGGAGTTAAGTGAAAATATCATTAAAATGTATTGTAATTTATTATTAATAGCGTGACTTCGTAGTAATATAAAATTATTAATTTAATTTATTACGTAAAATATGTTTTTGTATTGGAATAAAAATAATATGTTAATAAAAATTAAAGTAAATTTTATTTAGAACAATAATTACCTTAAATTGCGTAAGATTTAGAGATATTAAGCAGTGATCTCATTGAATTTAATATTCCAAATCTCATCTGTGCGTGTCGTAAAACAAATATAAAGATAAGTGAAAGTAGAATTCAAGGAAACAGTGATGAAATTCAACTCGTAAAATGAATAGACTCACCAGTTTATGGTATCGTAAAGCGGTAGGAGCTTGTGGCTACCCTTATTTTGATGAGGGACAAGTTAAACGCGTAATTCAAATTTTCTAGAGTACACAATGACACGATGTCTATGATGAACAGTTTCTATGTTTCTGTACTCATAATCTTTAAATAATTTGTTCTTAAAAATTAAGAATGGAAAGTGCGAATTGGCAAACGTAGTGTAGAACGCCCCGCAGCTATGTGGAGCGACGTCATACGTAGGGTTGCGGGTAATAACAGGACGAGTAGGGCGGAAGATCGTGCTCAGTGGCATGCCTTGGGAGAGACCTATGTCCAGCTGTGTATTACAGTGAGCTGATGGTGATGATCATGATAAAAAAATATTGTCATTACAGAATCAAAATTAATGTCATTATCATATACAGAGAAAAATGGAATTTCTCTGTAAATGACGTGCATTAAAAGAGAGTAAGCTCAAATAAGAAGACTGATATTCATATCACTAGAAGAAGATACTACTATACCGTTGCCAAATAAAGAGAAGATTCTAACAGTATGTGTCTGTAATAAAGAATTTAAAATTTTGCACAAACTTTATACTAATTAAGACGGACAATATACTTGCGCAGATTCTTATCATAACTCTAAGCAATACTAATAATATTCCTATTGTTGACCTTGATTGACTAATAATACCATCTTCTCTCATAAAGGATGAAAGTTTAATGACAATACTTAGTCCATCTACGAAGTAGATAAGAATTACAAAAAAGAATATGTCACCAAGGTATTCGATAATTTCTAGAAATTAGACTATTATTGTATCAGTAACACAAAAGCAATATTAAGTATAAAACCTCCATAGAACCCCACAGAAAAATGTTATAACATTATTTTGTTAAATTCAACATTGTTGGGACAAATATAATCAGTTTTCAGGTAACTCAGCTTAAACCCATTTTAAATATTTACAGCGAAGTTATGTTAAGTTAACTATGTGAACCCTCATTATTCTTCTTCAAACGTCACGGTGCATAAAAGCAACAAAGAAAACTCAATACCACAGAAACCGCGATTACATTACATCGGTGACTTTATCAGGCGCAACCAGAAAGATGGAGCAAAATCCTCTAAAGTTATTTAAATGAACCAAGCTCCGAATAAATGCATATTGAATTTGTTTACGTTTGCCCAAACCGGAATAGAGATAGTCCATACTTCTATTTAAATTTCGTCCTGCAATCTCCATATTATTGCTATCGGTTCCGATATCTGTTTCTTTGTTTAAGTAGCTCGGAATAGTATTGCATGTTCAATATCACCTTTGCGTCTACCTTTGGACCGGATCTTTTTAAATTGAGATTTCTAATGCGACTCTCAAGGGTCAGGCGTACGTAATAGGTATACCATGCCGAAAATCAGCGATAGTATAAGGAAATTGTGTAGCATTCTCTAAGAAATGAAGTTGAGAAATATTTGGAGAGTTATTCAAAAATTCATTTCATTATGAAAATTTTTCGTTTAAATTTCTAATTCGAGGGAATTAATTTTTTCTTGGATACTTAACTATGCCCTAGCTTGCCATGGTTTGTAACCCATAAAACGAAATATAGAGTAGTTACATATGAGCTACAATGATTTAAAAAAGGAATTTGAAGATATATGTCCCTCAATTCTACGAGTGCTTAAGATTCGTTGAAGCTGTGGGAAACGCACGGTGGAAGATATCGAAGAACAAGCTGTAGATAGATACAGTTCGAAAACATTGCGTACATACATACAACAATTTCCGAGTAACCTTTAGAAAAACAACGCACGAGAAAAAGAGAGAGAGTATATATCCTTATTATTCTTGTTGTATATGTATTACGTTTCTATTTTTACTTTCAATCCAGTGGGCTGTCAACTAGTTTCTGTAGTAGACAATATATGATCCATGCCCTTTAGAAGAATCGGTTAACATTTTCTTTACCCATTATAGTAATAATGGTAAAAATAATCAGTAAACGTAAATTATTAGGGTATTTTCATCCCACGCAGCTGAGCGGTCGTTCTGAGATCCGATCTTATTTATTGCTTGGTCTATTCATTGTACGTGATTAAGGAAGTAAATGTTAGCACAATTAGGCACGTTAGGGAATTCGTCTTGGACGTAACCTGCATTAGGTTGGGTGTTACTTGCAGCGGAGATTTTATAGGAAATTGTAACATTAGCAAAAAAATTGGTTTTATATCAAAACTAGGTAACAAACTATAAAACATCAATGAATAACGATATTTGTGATGATCATCGATGAATATCATAATGACCATGGAGTCATCATTCAATAGATCACGCTCATGACATATTTTTAATGAAAGGTAATTCGACCGCCATTACTCAGCAGACTCTTCTCACTTATTTCTTTTATCATAACTGAACCAAATATATTTATTCAAAACACACAGAGCTAATTAAAATGCTGCGTAATATTTCCTATGTATCATTTACCAATTATTTATCTATTTATTTTTATATTTTGGTAACATTATGTTTTTATATATTAATTTTAAAAGTTAGAAGAATCAGTCATGGTCGTCAGTTAAACATAATTAAAACCTTAGATTTAGGATTTACCTGCATCTCCTGAGTGCTGAAGAGCGAATATTCGGATTTAAGTTTTATACGTAATACGGCCTTGATGGTCATTTGCATGTACATTTCAAGGAGGTAATCCTTTGTGGATTCGATTCTCGTATGTGGAACGTGAAATTATTATATATGGAGATATAACATCTGCACCCTCTCATGTGGTAACGTAGAAGTGATCATCAACTGCTTCTCCCTTATCCCCTTTGGTAGGAGTGGTACCATATAAAATAAAAATTTCATTATAATCCGACAACACTGAGACCACACAACGAAATCTTCATAATGGCTGTTTACACGGCACGGAGCTATTGGATAAAATGGATTATGCTTCTTTGGTGTACTATCTCTGTCCGTTCTCTCATTATGTCTCTTTCTTACATCCTACATTAAGGTACAACTCCTTTATGTTTGGTCAATATCAATAAAATGACCAGAAATAGTCACATAAATGGAAACCGGTATAGGTATATTATTATTTATAGTAAATTTTATATCTTCATAAAAGACCTAAAGATACAATCCTATTGTCTTTTTTATGTAAGAAGAATAAAATAAATATTGATATTGGAATCCTAATACTTAGTTATATAGACTCATGACCTAATTTTAAGTTTATGCAGTTTCAAGCTACCAGACTTTACACAATAGTTTCCTTTTTGGTGAGTGATATCAACAATCTACCTTTACAATAAAAAGGACGGCTCTATTATTTTAATATTATTTTATGTTAAATTAGTAACTTTAATTATTACCTCTTTTCTTTCGACTTTGGTGTTATCAATAAATTGAAATATTAATTAAGATTTTTATGTTATTTTGTCGACGGTACTCTAGTAAATATAATATAAATTATTATTTATATTTTGCATTCTAAAGTTATTTATTCAATTAAAACAAAGTAACTATATACATTTTTTGAGAAGTAATAAATTTATTTCACAATGAAGTTGTGCTGTCCTTTTCTATGCAAACTAGTAAAGCCTCAGGTGTTTGCTTGTTGGCGTTGTGTGCAATCAACCAAACTATTGTTAGTAACTTTGCCGAGAAGTTGTCCTACAGATATATTTATGCAACGTGTGTGTCGTGAATTTTCCCGCTTATGTTACGTGACTCGTTACTCTTCGGTAATAGAATAAAAAAACTTACATTTTTTTTTAAATTTGGAACTAAAAAATATTAATATCTTGTATTCATAAATATCGTTACGAAATCGCGAGCACAATTAGAGTTCTTACTAATACATATTATAAACGCAAAAGTATGTGAGTATGGATGGTTAGATAGATGGATGTTTGTTTCTTTTTAACGCAAAAACTACTAAACAGATTTTGATGAAACTTTACAATAATATAGCTTATACATCAGAATAAAGTTATAAAAGTTACAAATTTCATGCGGATGAAACCGCGGACATTGCTAGTTTAAAATGAAAGAGAAAATAGCAATATGCAATTAAAATAAGTTAAAATATATTCTGTCCGTGCCGTGTCTTTGATATTTTTCTGCATTTAATGTATATTTCAACCGATTATATTTAATATTTTCAAAATTGCGTTAAAATCAAGTGATGACGTAACCGTACCAAAAACAAATTTATATCAATATATAGGTATATCAACTTCTGCAATCTTATTATCATACTGATGTATAAGTAATAGATTTACATTAGCGCATAAGTTACATATTACTCACAATTATTTCGAGGTAGGAACTAAAGATTAAGGTATCTAATACCATGTGGCCTATAATTTATTTCTTTAATTTGTCCAATATTTTTAGGTTCGATACATTAGTTCCACAGCAATTAGTGGGTGCCGTTAGCCCGTAATTTACTGTCACAATCAGACAATGGAGTGCCGACTCTCTGCTGCAATTGGGGACTTATTACATGACGCTTTCCTTTACCTATTTTATAAGTTGCCGTGAAAGTTATATATGATAAGAATAAGAATAAGTTTTATTTTGGAAAACTTAATTTTAGTAACATTTTATCTATGACTCTACACTAGGCTATGTTATTTATATTTATTTATTTTAGGTTTATTTTATTTGGGGGTTTGGTCACTTGGGTACT